TTGAAGTATGAATCTGGGCTGGGCACAGTGGCTCACACCCTTATTCCTAGCACTCTAGAAGGCCGAGGCAGGTGGATTGCTTAAGGTCACGAGTTTGAGACCAGCCTGAGCAAAACCGAGATCCCCATCTCTACTAAAAAAATAGAAAAAAACTGAGGCAAGAGGATGGCTTGAGCCCAAGAGTTAGAGGTTGCTGTGAGCTATGATGCCATAGTACTCTATCAAGGGTAACAGCTTGAGTATCTGTCTAAAAAAAAAGAAAGAAAATAAAATCTTCTCTGAAAATTAATGTGATCTTATGTACATGTATAGTTTTTTTTTTTTTTGCAGTTTTGGCTGGGGCTGGGTTTGAACCCAACCCCACCCACCTTCCCTCCCACCTGGCCCCCACCCCATACATGGGGCTGGTGCCCTATTCCTTGAGCCACAGGCGCCACCCCCTGTATGTGTATAGTTTTTACTTATCCCATTAGTGTGACCATTTTACCTGGGAACATGTACTTGATTGTGGGGTACAAGTACATCATACTACCTTAGTTTGTGTTACCTTTTATAAAACCCTAAAAATTTTTAACTCTGAAACATTTGCCATCAAGGACTCTCTCTTTTTTTTTTTTTTTTGAGACAGAGTCTCACTCTGTTCCTCAAGCTAGAGTGTTGTGGCAACAACCTAGCTCACAGCCCCTCACAGCCTAGAATTCTTTTTTTAACTTAACTTTTTTTTCTTTAATCTTTTGTAGAGATAGCATCTTGCTAGGTTGCTCAGGCTGGTTTGGAACTTCTGGCCTCAAGTGATCTTCCCATCTCAGCTACCCAAAGTGCTGTGATTACAGTTGTAGGTCGCCACGCCCAGATAAATTTTTTTTTTAAAATTTTCAGACAGGGTCTCTTTCTGTTATCTGGGCTGAAGTGCAGTGGCATCATCATAGCTCACTGCAGCCTCAAACTCCTGGGCTCCTGTCATCCTTCTGCCTCAGCCTCCCAGGTAGCTGGGAAGATAGGTATATGCTACCGTACCTAGATTTTTTTTTTTTTTGTAGACTTGGAGTCTTATTAAGTTTGTTCAGGCTGGTCTGGTCTTCAACTCCTGGCCTCAAACCATCCTCCCTTCTCTGCCTCCCAAACTGCTAGGATTATAGGCATGAGCCACCATGCCCAGTCAAGGATTTATGTTATGGTGCTAGCCACATACACTGTGGGTGGCAGGTTTGAACTAAACAACTGCAACAAAAAAATAGCCCGGCATTGTGGTTGGTGCCTGTAGCCCCAGCTACTTGGGAGGCTGAGGCAAGAGAATTGCTTAAACCCAAGAGTTTAAGGTTGCTGTGTGCTGTGACACTACGGCACTCTACCAAGGGCGACATAATGAGACTCTGTCTCAAAAAATAATAAAAATAAAAATAAAATAAAATAAGGGGAGGGGTGATGCCTGTGGCTCAGTGGGTAGGGCACTGGTCCCATATACTGAGGGTGGCAGGTTCAAACCCTGCCCCAGCCAAACTGTAACAAAAAATAGCCGGGCGTTGTGGTGGGCACCTATAGTCCTAGCTACTTGCGAGGCTGAGGCAAAAGAATCACCAGGAGTTGGAGGTTGCTGTGAGCTTTGACACCACAGCTCTCTACTGAGGGCAATAAAGTACCCTTAAAAAATAATAATAAAAATAAAATAAAATAAAATAAAGGAGTGTGGACCCTTAGCAAACTCCTAGCTATTTCTGCATTTTGCAAATCTTGTCCCTTAACTGTATCTCTTGCTCTCCTTGGCTACCTAAAGAAGTCAAGGAGGCTCCAACCAGGAACTTTCCCCAGAGAGAAGCTATACCATCCCAACCCTGATTGGCTCTGGGAAAACCCTAAGGGGTGGGGTGGAGCAGGGCACGATCCACCCCTCTGGAGCTCTGCCCAGACCTTAAAAGCCCAGCTCCACATTCTTTGGTGCCACTAACCACAGCTCTACCTTCAGGAATAGCCATGGCCCAGCAGATGACAATACAGCTACTGCTCCTTCTAGTGGGGGTTGCTGCGGTAGTGGGGACCCGGGACAGGACTCATCGAGCCAGGACTGAACTTCTCAACGTCTGTATGGATGCCAAGCACCACAAGGAAAAGCCGGGGCCTGAGGACAATTTGCACCGTCAGGTAGGCCTGGGGCTGACCTGGGGTAGGAGGGACTGGCTTGGAAGAGGAAATCAGAAGATGGAAGTGTCAAGCTCCCCTCCATGGTGGAGGTAGACAGGCCTGCTAGAAGAGACTTTGTTTCACACCTATTGAGTGCCAAATGTCCCTACAAGGCTAACAGCTTACCTTTTTAGCTTGTTGGGTTTCCACATTGCACAAATAAGGAAGCAGGCCCAGAGAAGAGGGTGGTAAATGAAGTTGGAAAGACTCAGTGCTGGGGATTGTTTGATTCAGGGTTTTAGAGTGGGAATAACTCCTCCAAAGATATGAGAGGAGAGACTGTACACTGCATCAGAGTGCCCTCTCATCTGCTAGCCTGAGACAGCTCAAGAAAAGTAGGTCTTTCAGAGTCATAAGGCTGGGTGCAAAGCATATTTTTTGGAGGGGACAATGTCTCCCTCTGTTGCCCAAGTTAGAGTGAAGTAGTGCTATCATAGCTCACTACAATCTTGAACTCCTGGGCTCAAATGATCCTCCTGCCTCAGCCTTCCAAGTAACTGGGACTACAGGCACCTGCCACAACGCCCAGCTAGTTTTTGAGACCGAGTCTTACTCTGTTGCCCTGGGT